TCCAGCTTGGCGGGGCGGCCACGCGTCCCTGCTCCGGGAGGGGGCTGGCGCAAAAGGGTTTTTTTTTTCCAAGGAGACAGAGGCTGTGCCATGGATCCGGGACCTGCAGGACAGCCCGTCAATGGCTTGGCTGGCCCCCCAAAAAGGGGGGGGGGGGATAGGACCCCCGGGAGGACCAGCTGGGACCCCCGAGACCAACTGAGTCCCCTGGGAGTGGGGTGAAGCTGACCCCAGCTCCCCCCAAAGCCAAGCCCAGCCCCAGCGAGGAGGGAGAGGTGGCTTTGTCACTGTGCCCAAGGACAGAGCACCCTTGGCATTGTCCCTGGCCACTGACCTCCCCCATGGGCCCTGGGACCCCCTCTGGGCTAGGGGACACGCGTGACCTCACTGCGGATGAGGTGCTGAGAGCAGGGTGTGCTGGGGTCATTCAATCCCCTATTGATTCCCCCCCAAAAAAGGTTTCCAAGCAAGACATCTAAATGTGCTGGGAAATGACTGAAGCCCAGCTGAAGGGACACCTTGGACGAGAGCCGGGGGTCCCTGCGATGCCCAGTGCAGCCCCCCAGGCTCTGTGTTCCTTTCCCCCCAGATCACGTTCGTCCCCGTGGACCTGGAGGCTGAGCGGTTCCTGGAGCACAAACCCACCATGCTGCAGGACGGGGACAGCCGGTAGGTCCCAGCGCCTGGCCCCCATGGCCGCTTTCCTTTTGGGGGGTGTTTCCATCGGTACACACGGTTATCTGCCTGCCCCCGGGGACAAGGGCAGTGTCCTGCGTGCTGGCACTGGGGACATCTGCACCTATTGCAGCACAAAGTGACAAGCAGGGGTTGGGGTGGGGGGGGCAAGGGCTGGTTGAGCCCCCCAGGAACGGATCCAGAGTGGTGCTGGAGGGTGCAAAGCATCCAGCTGTGTTCCTGTGGGCATCCTGTGGGTGGAGGAATTTTTCCCTGTGCGGGTGGTGAGGCAGTGGCCCAGGTTGCCCAGAGAAGCTGTGGATGCCCCATCCCTGGAGGGGTTCAAGGCCAGGCTGGATGGGGCTTTGAGCAACCTGGGCTAGTGGGAGGTGTCCCTGCCCATGGCAGGGGAGTGGAACGAGATGAGATTTAAGGTCCCTTCCAACCCAAACCATTCTGTGATTCTATGACCCCCTGCAAGGACCCACTGGCACAGGCAGTGGTGTGTCCTCTAAAGCACCTGGCAAAGCCCCGTGCACATCCCTGAGCATCCCCTAGCTCCACGGGGGAACAGATCCTGCCCAGCACCTTGTTCCTTCTTCCATCACAGCTTGATTGTGCCCTGTCCAAACTGCGAGGCCAGCAGCCCCTACAAGAAGAGCCTGCCATCCTACGAGCAGATCCAGCGGCAGGAGGGGGGCTCGGCCCCGCTCCCACCCGTGGCCCAGCCCAGACCCCACGGTGGGTCCCCCCCAGAGGTGCA